CTGTATATTGGACACAGGCGCTGTACCGTCTCTCTGTATATTGGACACAGGCGCTGTACCGTCTCTCTGTATACTGGACACAGGCGCTGTACCGTCTCTCTGTATACTGGACACAGGCGCTGTACCGTCTCTCTGTATACTGGACACAGGCGCTGTACCGTCTCCCTGTATACTGGACACAGGCGCTGTACCGTCTCTCTGTATTGCTTTTTTGTACCCTCATTAGTTTCAGTCTCAGGCTTCACAGGCTGAGGACGTCCTCCAGGCTGAAACAAGGCCTCATTAGGGAGGGATCCTTGATGGAAATGGGACGAAGGAAAAACCCCACCTCCAACGCCAGCCAGCCTCTGGGTTCTCTGATCCCCAAAGTAGTGGTGTTATTTTCCAGACAGCAAGCCACCCCACCACCCTCCATCCCATTGACCCAACTGAGCTCCTTGACCACTGATCATCAAATAGTCTCCCCCAGTCATGTGACCTCTCCTGGCCCCTCTCGCCATTGGGGGGTTGCTGGGGGTGTTCCGGCAGGATGAATAAACTAGTGAATGGGCAAATGACGGAACGCATGAATGGGTGAGCAGCTGAATGGGACAATTTCTATTGGCAGTAGATGGCTGTGACCCAAAGCAGCTGTGTTCCTCTCACAATGAGCTCCCCTTCGGCAGCGTGGTACAGCCCTCGCACGTGTTAAATCACTATCAGCCAACAGTATTTGAGACCACTGCAATGACTATAACATATGTTACTAGATGTCCCAAATGTCTGTTGCATCCTGCGGTGTCCCAGGGTTCTCTCTGTATCCTGAACATTTTTGCTCTTCTTTGTCTCTTTCCACATGCTCCTTGTCCATTTTGCTGAACTCCTCTCACCTCCGCCGCCTGCATGTCTCCTCTCCACCTGGCCAGGAAACAGACCAAGGTAAGCGTCTCCCAAGCCTGTCTTCACTGTCATGACTTGCTGGGAGGGGTTTGGGTGCCCATTCCCTGCTATTAATCTGCCCGCTACAGTCCCTCCTCTTCTCTGAAACGGTAGATGTTTGTCACCACAGACAATATGGATGGTCTCAGGTGGCTATTCCCTCCAGGCCCGTCTCTCACCTGCAGACGTTACCCATAATGCACGCACACACAAGGTGGTTTAAGTTTCAGCGCTTTGGACAGCATAGGCATACAGTGACACTGCTTTGCACTTTTGACTTGTGATTTAGTTATTACAATCAAGATTACCGTGCATTGTCATTAACCCCATGGGAACTGGGTTAAACTAGGGAGCGATTGACACCATGAGAGGATCCCACCTGCTGTGGGCTTCCAGGCCTTATCACGGTGATGGTAAGCGGCTTGTGGCAGCAGGGTGAGTTTTTTTTTTTTTTTTTTTCCAACAATGGAGAGTTCATGTCTAGGTTGGAGCCTGGCTGCTGTGCCTTTAAGCTGCATTAGCGGTGGGCTCATTGTTATTTCCTACTCCCACCCGGAGCTCACTTATCCGGACCACAATGTTCTCCTGACTGTGCTTTTTGGGTACATTGTAGTTTTGAGAGACCTTTTTTTAGTGTTGTCATGATGATGGGAACCTATCTGCTGCTGGAGTTGGTCCAGATTCCATTAAGGTGCTGCTGTAGATGGATGAGCGAGGTTTTCAGAAGACTGAAGAGGATTGGGGGATTTCTCTTGGGGTTCCCCCTCCCAACCCTAATCCAGTGTAATGAAATGCATCATAGGTAACTGGGGACCTCTAGCTGATTGCAGGGATGGTGCGAATATTGGGTGCCTACTTTTTCTAGCTGGTACTTGGGCCGGGTTCTGCCCATACTTTTGATCATCACTGCTGACCTGGGCTGTTCTCAGTGAAGTGCTGTGAGACAGTCAGCAGCCCTGGTAGCCAGCTGATGGCCATCTGCTCCAGCATCCCCAGAGCCAGAACACACCTGCCAGGCTGAACAGGCTGGTGTGCTTAATATACGGCTGAGGAGAAGTATCCTGTTGGATGACATGTAGAGGAGAGGCCCAAACAAAAGGAGATCAGGGCCCACCATGGTGGCTTGGGAGCCTTGCTGATCCTGGGCTTTGGGAGTTCTGGTCCTCATCTAGTTTATAGAAAGTTGAAAGCATAAATGTTTTATTTATACATTTTATAAGGTGCCTTAAATTTCTCTGGATAACATTTCTGCCAAAGGCTTTTTTGCCTTTCGTGTGGAAGAAAGTTCTGGAAGCCTCATGCTCAGTTGGGGAAGCCATCTTGTATCGTCAGCTTCAGAATGCATGTGGCCTCCACTGTCCCTGTCACCCTTCTGCCCGGGCAGCTGGTGGCCACCTTCAGTCCTGGGCAGTGGGTTCTCCCTCATAAAGCTCTCTTCGCTCAGTGGGACACCCAGCTGGCCAGGAGGCATGCAGGTGACGGTTGCTTGGGAAACAGCAGCTCGCCTCAAATGTCTTTCACCGTTGATTCATGAGTTAATTAAGCAGTTAACACTCCCCCCACCCCCCAGCAATCAACCACCCACGAAGGGCACCAGTTTGTCACCTAGGTTTGCTGAACTGCTGGTTGTTTCCACTCCTAACTGGAGCTGTGTCCAACCCCGCAACAACACTACAGTGCACTTGTACTTCAGGAACAGGGGCAGCACATGCACTCAATGGCCACTGCATTAGGTGCATCTACCTAATATCAAATGTATCCACTTCAAAGGTAGACGAGTTTTTCTGTACACCTTGTTGCACTGAGCTATTATTTTTTGCATTTGTGGCCTTCATATTGTCCTTCAAAAGTTCAGCCGTTCATCTGTGACCTTCAGGCATGCGCTGTTACGCTGAACCTTCCCATGTGTGAACTCAAATGTTCGAATCCGTCATTAAATCGACTTTACTGGCAGTCCGGGCAATTTCTGTCGCATGTGTGAATGGAGCAGGAAAATGTCTGGATAAATCACTGCGAGCGAGTGGGCGTGTGGATGATGTATCTGTCATGCGACTGGCGCGAAAATGGAAGAGTACAAACATCCGAGGGCAAAGAAGGAGGGTCATTTACACGAAGAAGACCCCGACGCGCTGGGCTAACTGGAGAGACGACGAGATTCGGGAACTTCTGTCAGAAGTACTGTAAACAAATTTTCACACAGATTTCCACAGGATACGTTTTGCATCATGTCCTGCCTCCTGCATACTCAGCCCAACTGCTACCCCTTGTCTAATCCAATCGGAGTATTTCTAGTAAGCATGAACACATCTGACATAGGCTATATCTAGTTCTGTCACATGAAACAGAAACTCCAGAAAATGCCCAGGCTTGATTCTCCGAATAATATCTGGAGTTCATGTGTGAAAAAGGCTCTATTAACAAGGTGGTTTCAGCTGTAGTGCTAGCGTTGACTGGATGTTTCTTGTTCACACCATTCTCTCAAATCTCTTGACCCTGCAGTGCATAAAACACCCAGGAAGGTGTTTCTCAAATGCTGGATCCACCACATATGGTACTAACAATTACACCATATTCAGAATTGCTTAGATCAGGCATCTTAGCCTTTCTAATTGTCATCCAAACAGTAAGTGAACCTTTTGACCCTGTCTGGGTGCTGAATGGATTCACTTTCACACTTTTGATTTGCTGTTTGGAGAAGCAGGCTATATACATTAGCATATAGCTAATAAACTGGCCACTGAATGTAAACAGTAATGGAAGAACAATGTGGATTTGTAAGGAGTAAAACCACTGGCTTTCTGTCTCTTGTGGGGAAAAAAAGACTTCCTTAAACACCTTTTTTTGGCATCCTGGTATGATTTTGAAGATTTTTTTTTCTGAAGTTGCTAATTCCCCAAACAGGCTCACTTTATAACTAATTACGGTTTTTTGATCATCACAACAATGAAAATGCTATTGGGTAGACTGAAGACCACATAGAATACAGAACATTCTGGAGGATTACTGTCCATATGGGTGCCAAGTCACCATCGACCATCTTAAGTGATGTTGATGTAATGTGGATTGCTTCAGAATTTTTCCCTCTTTCCTAAGATGAACCCATATTGGAGAGCTTCCTCTTGGTCTGTTTGTTGGTGAGACTTTCCTCTGGGTTTAAGGTGACTGCGAGGTTTGAGCCTCACACTGTCTGGCTTTGCTGCTGGCCTAAAACATCTGACCATGGCCATGCTTTCCGTTTGGCGGCGCTCTTCCATGATCTTGTGCGACGAGCTGGCAGCCATGTTGAAGTTCCGCACTGCTGATGTTTGCCTCTTTCGACAGCTTGGCTTAAATCTCTGCTTGTGTCTCCGGAAGGCCTGTCTGGTGCCATGAACGTAACACTCTGTGACAGGCTCTTTGTCTCTGTGTAGACAGAGATGCCCTAGCAGAGTGGGAGCGGCATGGGCAGCTTCCGGAACTTCTCCGCCTGACGTTTTCTCTTCTCTGCAGGTGTTTGCCTTTGATTACTGCTTCTGGTCCATGGATGAGTCCAACGTCCCCAAATATGCAGGTGAGTCCCCGTCTCCCGGCACTGCCCCCACACGGCTCAGCAAGACACCCATTGATGTTCCCCACCCCCCCGAAGTTGCATGAATGCCGCCCCTTCGCAGTTATGTGAACTGTCCCTTGTGCTCTTTCAGCCGTGTTACGCAGATAAATTGAACAGAAGAATGAATGAGGAGAGGTTTCACTCTGTGGTGATCCATGGCACAAACCAATGCTGATTAATCCGGTACCTTGGATAGTTACCTAATCAGAAGGCTGCCCAATCTGACGGCTGCTCAGTCTCACAGCCTTGCCAGCAGAATACTAATCAGGCTCCAAAAAGGGGGTGTGAGCTTCTGGCTTTTCTTTCCCAGGAATCTACATCACTAAGGACAGCAGTTTGAGCAGCAAGGAGGTGATTATTCAGTCAATTCATGCTGTGTCTGTGGGGGTCTGGTGGGTATGGTGGTCTGATCATTGATGGTCAGGGGTACTCTGTCACTCTGTCAGTGAGAGTTGGGAGTACGCTGGCCTGGTCTGTGAGTGTCAGGGGTACACCTTCTGGTCAAGATTGGGGTACATTGATCTGTCATTAAGGATCGGTGATACTCCGGTCTGTCAGTGAGGGTCGGGGGTACTCCGGTCTGTCAGTGAGGGTCGGGGGCACTCCGGTCTGTCAGTGAGGGTCGGGGGCACTCCGGTCTGTCAGTGAGGGTCGGGGGCACTCCGGTCTGTCAGTGATTTAAAACTGTAAATTCTTGTTCATCCTGCTTCCTCCTTTCCGTCATGCCTCAATGTTTCTCCCATTGCTGGACATTGCTGCTCCCAGTGTGACATTCAGGTGTCTCTGTGTTAATGTTCTCCTTGGAGAGCGATCACGGAAGTGCTTTTTAAGAGCAGCAGGGCAGAGGGGGGGTCGGCAGATGCCGGACTGTGGGGGTTGCTTTCAGATATGTAATAAACACAAATGTAAATACCGCATATGACTGGCATACAGCACAGGAATAGGGTGATGTGTGCCTGTTAGTCGCTTCACCCTTAGTCTGCATCAGGTACATGTGGGGGGGGGGGGGTGTCACTCTATATTTAGTTCTTTAACAGCTGTCCACTCACCACAGGCCACTTGGGCGTGACATCAGCATCCCTCAAGGAGTCTGTGATGATATGGGGGGGGGGGGCGCACAGGATTGATGCACGGCTACATTAGCTGTGTCTGTCCTCATCCTCATGTCTGTCCTTTCTGACCCACAGATATATTCCATATTCATTTTTATATCTTTAGCAGATACTTTTGTCCAAAGTGACATGCAAGTCAGGGTCCGAGAGCAGGATTAGCCAGATCTCAGGTGCAGTTGGGGTTTAGGGCCTTGCTCAAAGGCCCAAGGGTGATACGATTCCTTTGCCAGACATGGGATTAGAACTCACACAAGCATGGGTAGCATGCTGAGATGCACACTGCATTTTCTTGGCATCTGCTGAAGTAGTATTTGTTATTTCTCAGTGTCCTGATTCAGAAACTGCCCAAGCCATAAGAAGCTGTGAATGTACGGCGGGTTTGTGGTCATTCAGGCTCAATTCGGGCCGTGTTGTCCAGCCTGTGTAGGAGAACAACTTCACAAACACGTGAGCATCACCGGTAGTGACAAAAAAAGCAGCTTGATTTTTAGGTGACAACTTTTTGGGAGAGTGAAGCTATCTGACTGTACAGTAAGTGTGCTTTTCCATCGCACCAGGTACAGTAGCATGCTTTCCCTTTCCCATTGACTTCCAGTCGAGTACCAGTACCAAACGTTCCATTGCCCAAAGTATCAAAGTGGCTGAGGTACTTTTTTGGTATTTCTGTACTTTAGGGTGGGATTTACAAATGATTTCTTTGTTGATTTTGGTTATGAAAATATCCTGCTTCTAAACACAATACAAGTGCCGCCTTGAAAAAAGTTACAGGCTCAGAAAACAACTCTAGACAAAGTTTAAAAAAAGAAAAAGAAAAGAAAGAAACTCATCTATATGAGTGATTTAAACAGCAAGGAGAACGCATGCAGCGCTCATGCAAAATCAGCGGTGGTAACCCTTATATTGATTTTTAAAATGTATACTAGATAATCTTGAAAGGAACAATTATTGGAATGCTTGCTAAGTTTTGTTTCCTATGACAAAGTAAAAATGCTTTGGTAAAACTTAAGCCTCCCCATTCTATAATGTCTGTACAGTATGAAGGTATAAAAAAGTCTGATCCCAACCAGACTATCGCAGTCCTTGCAATCCGTGTATAACACATAGCTGTATTAATATAGCTATATTGCTATGATGATCTTGTGGTCATTATTAGGTCCTGAATCTGAGGGAAAAGAGCAAACTTAAACCTTAGTTTTGAGTCCACCGCTTTGTGCAGTTTCTCTACAGCAAGGAAAATAGAATTTGTTTGTGAAGTGTTTGTTATTAAAATGCAATTAGAAACACAAAGAAAAGGCAATGTATCGGTATAAGAAAACCATTCTTTGTAGCTGTTCTTGGAAGTGCTTACACACTTAAATTCAAATCTCATGTTGCACGTTCGGCAGCTCCAGTTCTGTTCAGTACACTGAATTGTTTAAGGGCGCTGAACCTGCAAAGTCATTGGTAGCCTAGTTTGGAGTAGAAGCTCCTGGTGATTGACATAGCGCCGTGTCCACACTGTGTGCTGGGTGATTAGCATAGTGTTGTGTCTTTACTGTGTGCTGGGTGATTAGCATAGCATCGTGTCCACATTCTGCTGGGTAATTAGCATAGTGCAATGTCCACGGTGTGTCCCAGGTGATTAGCGTAGCTCCATGTNGCATAGCATCGTGTCCACATTCTGCTGGGTAATTAGCATAGTGCAATGTCCACGGTGTGTCCCAGGTGATTAGCGTAGCTCCATGTCCATATCGTATGCCGGGTGATTAGCATAGCGCTGTGTCCACACTGTGTGTCGGGTTTTTAGCGTAGGGCTATATCCACACTGTGTACTGGGTGATTAGCATAAAGCTATGTCCACTATCTGTGTTGGGTGATTAGCGTAGCGCCATGACCACTCTGTGTGCCAGATGATTAGCATAGCGCTGTATCGACACTTTGTGCTCAGTGATTAGCATAGCGGCATGTCAACACTGTGTACCGGGCGATTAGTGTAGCTCTGTGTATATAGTGTGCACGAATGAATTTGCGTAGCACCATGTCCGCACTTTGTGCTGGGTAATTAGCATTGGGCCGTGTCCACACTGTGTGCTGGGTGATAAGCATAGTCTTGTGTTCATACTGTGTGGTGTGTGATTAGCGTAGTGTCGTGTCCACGCTGTGCTGGGTAATTAGCATAGTGCCATGTCCACAGTGTGTCCCAGGTGATTAGTATAGCATCATGTCCACACTGTGTGCCGGGTGGTTAGAGTAGTGCCATGTCCACACTGTGTGCCGGGTGGTTAGAGTAGTGCCATGTCCACACTGTGTGCCGGGTGGTTAGAGTAGTGCCATGTCCACACTGTGTGCCGGGTGGTTAGAGTAGTGCCATGTCCACACTGTGTGCCGGGTGGTTAGAGTAGTGC